CATTTAACTTTACCAATCTTTGCCCAAATTGTTTGACAGGAGACTTCTTTAATGCTAACTAACTGTTTGATGGATGTAAGTTGATTCATATTTATGAAATATTTTATGGGTGTAAATTTTTTCAGACATCATTATTTTGAACTCAAAACAACTTTGATATTTTTGGAGGCTACAGTGTAAGTAGTCGAACCTACAGTTTATTATTGGTTTTATGTTAATCAATTCTCAGATTGTTCACTGGATTTCTTGGGGGAGAAGCAAATGAATTACCACCAAAAAGACACAAATACATAGGGCACTTGTATACGGTTATTTCTTATTATTTGTTGAACACTTGATGTTATTGACGCAAAAACATGGGGCACTTGTATACCGTTATTTCTTATTGTTTGTTGAACACTTGATGTTATTGCAAATTTTATGTCATTGTAAACTCTGCTCATAACAGGTTACTGACTTACTCGGTAAACACCCTGATCTTATGGATGAGTTCAATCACTTCTTGGTGCGTTCTGAGAATATCGGTAAGTTTTGAGAATTATCACTGGTCAAATTGTTGTTATTCATACACCGCTCTTTTATTTCATCTGATTAATATCCCTTTTACAGATGGCTTCCTTGCAGGCGTTGTGAGTAAAAGTATGTTGATGCCACATATCCATCGTTACTTTCATTGATGAAAAAGATATAAGACTTTTGTCAGTTTTTTGTTTTTTCATGTCATAATCTGAGCCAATTGGAATTTGGCAATGTCCCAGGACTTCTTTAATCTGTAATGTCTGGATATTTATGTTGTAGTTATTTTTGTTGCAGAATCACTGAGTGATGGACATGTATCCAGATCAGTGAAGATTGAAGATAAAGATAGAGAACAGAAACGTGAAATGGAGGGTGCCAAAGAAAAGGATAGATGCAGGGAGAAGTATATGTTTAAATCTATTCAAGAGCTCGATCTTTCTAACTGTGAACGTTGTACTCCCAGCTACCGACTTCTACCAGAGGATGTATGCAAAACCTGGTTAAAGTTGTTTATATGCATGCACATTTTAAGGGGTTCGGTGCTGATGCAACTCTTTGATTCTTTATTTTGCAGTATCCGATACCTTCAGCAAGCCAGAGATCGGAACTTGGAGCTCAAGTTCTGAATGATAATTGGGTGTCTGTAACTTCAGGAAGTGAGGATTATTCATTTAAGCATATGCGCAGAAACCAGTATGAGGAAAGTTTGTTTAAATGTGAAGATGACAGGTAAAAATTTGCCTGTAGCATGGTTCTTGCTTCAATTTTCCTTTGGCCCTTAGCTTGGTTTTTTTTTTTCTTTTTCTTTTTAAAATGTGGGCTTTTGTTTTGTATAAGTTGCAAATGAGATTTAAGTCAGTGTTCAGGATCATATTTAATTTCCATTGTTTCATCTTTTTGTTTTCTAGTGATATTTATAATCATATTTAGGTTAGGTAGATACCGTATGATAATTTGAGTTTGGTATTTAACAAGAATAAAGTTTGCAACAAGCTCCCGGCAAGGGAAGGGTTTTGCACTAGGGTGTCTTTATTGTTGGGGTATCGTTGCTATTCTGTCTTTCTTGTTAACCCACTATATGAAGCAAATGTAATTTTATAGGTAGCTCCATCAGTAGAGGCAAAATTTTAAACCACGTAAAATTCTTTTTGTCCCCTCTCTCGTTCTGGCATTTACTATAAATTTATGAGTTTTGTGCATTAGTATGTCCCTTAATCTGTTTGATTTTCTTGAAGGTGATTTAGATACTTGTTTGAATGCCTACAGATTTGAGCTCGACATGTTGTTGGAGTCTGTGAGCTCGACAGCTAAGCGTGCTGAGGACTTGTTGAATAGTATCAGCGAGAATAAAATTGTTCCAGATATGCAAATTCGTATTGAAGACCACTTTACTGGTTTGTATTTTCTTTTCGTTGGTTGTGGAATTATGTTCACTCTGTTTGAGGTTTCCTCTCTTTCTCTCTGCCTACTGTCTCCTCTTTGTACTGGCTGCCTGTTGCAGCTTTAAACTTAAGGTGCATCGAGCGTCTTTATGGTGACCATGGTCTTGACGTGTTGGACATACTCCGAAAAAATCCATCTCTTGCACTTCCTGTCATTTTAACTCGCCTGAAGCAGAAACAAGAAGAGTGGACTAGATGTCGTGAAGATTTTAACAAGGTTTGGGCTGAAATATACGCTAAAAACCATTATAAATCACTTGATCACCGAAGCTTCTATTTCAAGCAGCAGGATTCAAAGAACTTGAGCGCTAAATGTAAGTTGATTAATACCCTCACAAGTGGTTGTCAGTTAGATCTGTCATTATTATGGAGCATTTTATTTTTATTTTTGTTTTGAACTAGCTTATTTTGTTTTATGAAGCTATTATATTTTTGCTTTTAATATGTATAAATATCTTGGCTCATATTTGTTTAAATGACTGAACTTGCGGGAG